ATGTGCATATGTGTGCATACATGTATGTAGGCTAGTTGTGAATATGCATACGCACGAAAGTATGTATGTATGTACATATCAATGCTTCATTTCAAACAAGCAAGTGTCTTTGAATGTTTTTGAACTACAGTATCATCACTTCGGCAACACGTCAAACGCGCCTTCAGCAACAAACCAAACGCGGCGGTTTGACTTCTGCAACAAATCAAGTTAGCTAACTGCGGCATCTTGCCTTCGCCAGTCTTTCACATAAGCTGTCATGCTTTCGGCAACCGTCCAAATGCAGTATCGTGCTTATGGCTGTCGATCAAATACGGCGGTTGCTGATTTCGTGCACGATCATTCGGAGTACAGATTTGCCGAAGTCAATATCAGTATGAGCTGTTATAAGCATCGTTCACTTGTGGTGGCTGTATTTGCAAGACAGCACGCTCTGCGGTGGTGTTCGTTCATCCTCCGTTTTTAACGTGAGTAGGCTTAAAGTCACAAAAACAGCAGCCTTTGCCAATGTCTGGTATACATTCGGTAGTTTCGTTGGTGATAGTGCAAAATATTCGATACTATCGAAAGCGTGTTTTCACTTTGTCAAATTCACTGGCTTTTCTCGTCAAATATGTGAAAACACATTGTCAAATGGAATTTAAAACGGGTTCTCGCTTGGCTTGGATCAGAATAGATCTTCAGTCGTGTACATGTCCAGCTAAATGGGCTGCCTGTCCGGTGTTGGCTCATAATATAATCGGTAAAGGTATGGGAAAAGGAGATAAAGTTGTGTCAAAATATGCCCATTTCATAACTGGAAATGCCATAAAGATTCTTTGTATAAACAAAAAGTTCATAACATAGAACAAAAAGAGATCGTGTATTTCAATAACACATTTTATAACCAAAAACATGTTATATGTGAGTCAGAATTTCTGAAACGAGCCACTTCAATTATGTGATATTTTAATTCCAATCAGGAATGGTATTTGTTCATAGCTATTGACAATGCAAACAAATGTCTAACTTTAATTTTACAAAAAAAAATGTTTTCTTATATATCGGCAAGTGTTTTTTTTTTTACCTTTTTACTTCAAAATTCAATTACAGACGATCTAATTGACCGATTTTCACAATTCAACCGTCATTTTCATTGTTATTAAAAACTTTTCAAGAGCATATAGGTTTTATTTATTTAAAAATAATTTTTAAGTGTAAATTTTTAGAAAATTGTTGGTAAAAATACAAAAATAATAGTCTTCTCCACCACTTTTTCACACAGAAAAAACCACATATGCAAAATTTTACTCTAAAATATTCTGTTGAGAAAAAAAATGGATCGCAACGCGGAAACCTGTTATTTTACTTGAAGGCTGTCGCGCAATGCAACGAGCGCTTTCGGACTTATTTTAGTCAAGTGCGTGTGCAACCAGCGTGCTCTCACCGGTTTATTTGCTTTCATGTGACAGAGTCAAAAATAAGCAGAGGTAGATTTAAGTAATTTTTAAGCAAAAACAAAACCGACTTCAATTCTCATATAAAATTTTAAGATAATCGTTGATTTCTTCATGATCCTATGATCGAATTAAAACCAAATTAGTATGGCAACACCTAAAAACAAACAGAGTCAAAAATAAACAGAGGTAGATTTAAGTAAACAAGTAATTTATAAGCAAAAAACAAAACTGACTTCAATTCTCATATAAAAATTTAAGATAATCATTGATTTCTTCATGATCCAATGATCGGATTATAACCACGCGGTTGCGGACGCACTTGACCAAAATAAGTCCGAACGCGCTCGTTGCATTGCGCGACAGCATTCAAGTAAAAATAGCGGTTTTCCAGGTTGCGAGCCATTTTTTTTTCAACAAAATATTTTAGAGAATAAAATTTTGACTGTTATTTTTTTATTTTTACCAACAATTTTATAAACATTAACCCTTAAAAATTATTTTTAAATAAATAAAACCTATGCTCTTGAAAAGTTTTTAATAACAATGAAAATGACGGTTGAATTGTCAAAATCGTCAATTAGATCGTCTGTAATTGAATTTTGAAGTAAAAAGGACAAAAAAATACTTGTCGCTATAAAGAATATAAATTTTTGTTTGCAAAATCATAGACATTTGTTTGCATTGTCAATAGCTATGAAAAAATACCATTACTGATTGGAAATTAAATATCACATAATTGAAGTGGCCCGTTTCAGAAATTCTGACTCATGTATCTTTTAGACCAGAGATGGGCAAGGTGGCTCCCAAGAGCCTTTTGCACTTAGGGGCTAATAGTGTGAACAAAATATACAACTATCGATATAGTCCGGTCAATTTAGACATTCGAGGTTACAATAATTCCCACCCAGCTGAAAATTGATAACATTGTTCAAAACACCATCATAAATGAAATCTAGAAAGTCCTCATCGATCCGATACCTGGAAAAAAAGTTACTCGGGGTCAAAGGTCACGAAAACGGGTTTTTCGCGATTTTCAGCAGAACGGTAAGTTTATCATAAAATTAGTTTAGACAAAAATTGTAGAGCAGATAATTATCTATAAAAAATGTCTAAATACTTTTTTATAAGAGCCACCGTTTCCGAGATATAACTACTCAAAAAGTTGGAAGAGTTGTAATCGTCATCTATATCTATATCTATATACATATATAAAAATGAAATGTTTTCTATATGACGGCGATGCCTGACCAAACCCCTGAACCGATTTCAATTCTGTAAAAAGTGCTTTTTTGGACCTTCTGTGTGGAAGGTTTTTCGATTAAAAAAATTCAAAACTTTTTGCTGTTTGTACCTACCTACCTCAGGTGGCTGGGGAAGCTTCGAGATGTAGAAGTTAAATAGTAAGGGGGAGAGAACGCCACTTTGTGGAACCCCTTGTTTTATTCTTCTTGATTTAGAGGTTTGATCTCTGAAGATTACTTACGACTGTCGACCTACCACTCACATAATTCGCCGACCATAGCTTCAGTCCCTGTGGGAGTGAGGCCTCACTGTCTTCTAGCAACGTGAAACGGCAGACAGTGTCAAACGCCTACTACTTTTTGTCTGTTTACACGGTGAATGCAGACAATTCCACTTTCAACTATGTTACCAGACGTTTTTTTGGTTATAACAAAATTAATGGCCTGAAAAATTTACTAAACATGCTAAAATGTGCACAAAATAGTCACAAAATGTTTCAATTAGGGATGTTTTGAATGTCATATTTTTCACATTTCGAATTTTCGGAGTGCGAATGCGAATTCGAATGTTAGGAATAACATTAAAAAAACTATAATCAACTTAAGTCATCGTTTTTATTACTTAAACATTTTTTTAATTATTAGAACATTGAACGAGTGCTCAACCCATACAGTGTTTAATCTAGTAGTCAAAGTTCAAAAGGGGCATATTACATTTCAAAAAAAGTGATGTCGCTGCCTCTTCTCCCATGAGGCGATTTCCTAGAGGCTCGTAGATAAGGCCGGCTGCACTGAACAATTGCTCACTTGGAACGCTGGCGGGTGAAGCGCTCAAATATTTGCGGGCCAGATCTGTCAATTTGTCGTATTTTAGTTTAGTTTTCCACCAATCGAGAGGATTTTCACCGAGAATAGCTTGGTTTTCTTCATTCATTTCATTCTTCAACTGAGCTTTAATTTCACACTTTTAATGTCTCCAGATTCTACATTCGAGCCTTCGCTTTTGCTGGAGGAATCTAAAATGATTTCTAGGTTACTTATAAGCAGGGAACGGATTTTTATGACCTAAAAACCCATAAAAAAGGCAAAATAAAATAACGAAATACGCTGAAAAGGCAAAATAAAATAGCGAATGAGGAGGGAAAAGGCACTAGGTATTGCAAAAAAGGCAAAAAACGGCAAAACAAAATAGCGAAAAAGGCAGGAAAAGGCACTAGGTATTGCAAAAAAAAGCAAAATAAGGCACTAAATAAAGACAGAAAATACGATGAACAATCAAAAAATACAGTTTTATATTACAAGTAAAAAGATAAAAACTATGAACTAGTTTTATTATATGAAAAATGTGTACTTTGAATCTTTGACTATTTTATCCTTTCGAGTTTCTAACTCATAAAACTTTAATCTGTATAGTTGTAGTAACATTGAACCACAAGATGCATTTTGACGTTTTCGACAGCATTTTCATTAGATTTTCGCGAAGAAAAGCCTTGAATGTACTAAACGTGCGCTCGACGTAAGTTGATACAAGTGGAGCCCAATTTAAATATGGAACGTTTGAAACGTTCATATTATCAGGAATAAGGGCGTTTTCCTCGCCCTTTACAATTTTATCCACACCCCTTATTGTCTCCAAGCCTACGTTAGCTGAGAAAACTGCTTTGAATTTTTCCAACACCAATTTGGCAAGAGGTCCCCTTTGCGCTTCTATAAGCCGCATGGGCATGTGTATATTTTTAATCTTTAAAAAAATATTGTAAATGCTAAAATCACTTTTTTAAAGTTAGAAAAGGCAAAAAAGGCAAATATCTTAAAAAAGGCAAATATCTTAAAAAAAAAAAGGAATGTGTATATATGGAATCAGGGAAAGCTAAATCGTGGACATTCTTAATCGAATATACTCTATCTCTTTAGCAGAAAAAAAGGCAATTTCCATAAAATCCGTTCCCTGCTTATAAGACTTTAAGCAGTACTTGTTAAAGGCCCATCAATGTTGCTTGATATACTACTTAGGGCCGTTTTCTCATCTACCCTTTAGTTTACCGGCCAATTTATCGTCTTGATATACGAGTTTTCGTTTTCTCATCAGCGCATTAATTTCTCGAAACGATAGACTGTTGCTCACCCGATGCAACCTTTAAAATTTGTACCCAACTTTAAATTTTGGTTTGGTTTTGGTTCATGAGCCAGATATATTAGATATTTCAACCAAG